GAACTGCAGATGTCAGCAGGAGCACCGAGGAAAAGCAGAGGTGCTCGATTTTTTTACACTTTCACAACACATTGACAATTTAGTTTTTGATTTAAAAAAAACAACAACTTTAATTTATTCAATAGATGTTTCATTCTCCAGCTTTCAGAGACTGTAATTTCTGCCTGCTGATATTTGGAAAACAACTGCGGCTCAATCAGATGGGATGAAGAACATATGCAGCCACCTTTTATTTTTCAAGTCTTCCCCCAAATTCCTCTTGACTGAACTTTGATCGAGTCATTCTAACACATGAGCTTTTGATTTAAATCATTTCCCTGTCGGTCTGATTCTATAGTCAGTTTGACGGTACTGTCCTATTTTGCAGCCTTGATTTTCTTACAAGATATTTATTTTTTGGTATTCTTCTTCAGACATTTGTTGGTGTTTTGAGTTCTGTTGCGCTGCTCTTGACGTTGGGTGGTTACAATAGTAACCGGAAGGTGACAGCGCGTCCCCTTTTTTTCGTTGCCGTCTGTGCCGGTGGGAGAAGAAGCTGACGATAACCACCAACTTGATTTTCCTATTGTCTGAAGAATAAATACAATGAACCTGAATGCGTCTGTCGTAAAGTCAGCCTATTGGACCTGAGGCGAGCAAAGAAGGGTTGCACATAATACCAACAAAACCTACTGAACCACTGAGGTGTTATTGCCATTGGGATGAAACAGCACAGCAGTAGCCACAGTGAACAGTTCCTGACTAAACTGCCTTCCTGGTGTTTCACACACCCTCATTCAGCCCCTGCATTCCATCAGAGAAAACATGGCCTGCATGTGCCTCTGCAAGTGACATCATTTCAAATATGTTTCACTGCTGCCCCTGCCAAGGGAGGGACTCCTCCTTCCTACCACTGTTTGACTGCTGGAGTAATTCAGCACTCTATCAAAAGTTTTCTGGGAAGAAGTCCAACCTCAACACGCTGAAGCACTCGGCTATGTGTGCTTAAGGCCCACCCGGCACAATACTTTGCACTATTTTAGTCCAGTTGAAACCCATGCTTTTTTTTCTGGGCTTAAGCCCGGAAGGTTGTGGGTGACCGGAAGGATAAAAAGCATTTCTTTACACCAGAATCCATGAGATCCTGGAGATATCGAAAGGTTTGGGTGTAGAGCCCTCCAGGGCTTCACAAAAGGAAAAAGTCGAAAAACCATTTGACGTGTTGACTTAAGAAACTATTTATTAAAGTGTTTTCTTAGTTATGCTTATCAGAGATGCAACACTAGTGAATCTCTTGAGCCCATTTTTTTTCTTTTTGTTTGTAAATGACTGGAAAAACCTCAAACCTCAGAACTTTTCATGGCATAGTTCTGAAGTTATATATTAATAAAAATTAAACAATCAGAAAAAGGGGTTTCCTCCAATGACGTTTTGTGCAATTCATCCACATAATGAGCCTAGAGATGTCTGCAAATGTTTTGGAAACTTTGTGATATAGTACTCTTTTATATATACATATATATATATATATATTATATATATATATATATATATATAAAATGAGTTTTCAGTTGTGTTACAGCACCATCCTTAGGAAAAATACACTGTAATTGCCATATACTTTCAAAAGTGAGTGTGTTCTGCAAATTTCCAACTCGGTCAACATGTTAAAAGACCCCACAATGCTCGGATCACAGAGAAATTGAAAAAAAACAAAAGCTGAAATTGAACCCACAACCTTCCGGTCACAAGATGACTGCTCTGCCCACAGAGCTGCAGTCGCAGCTACAGTATGACAAAATGCCATCTAAATGTCAAGTTGTGACTGCAATGTCCATGCTTTTTAACTGAAGGGTAAATTATTACAAGTGGAAATATTGTAAACATAAGGAGAACAAGCTAACTTTTCATGTTATATTTTAACTGTTAATATACTCAAGCCCCTTTATTTAGTGTCATGAGTTGTGTTGGTGGAGATGGTGAGGCAGACGCTGGAGGCCCAGGTAAGATGAATAATGAATATTTAATACCAAAAACTGTCCAAAAACACAGTCGACAGAGTAGTCCGCGGCCAGGCAGCGCGGCTGAGCGGAAGCCAGGGCTCAACACCGGTAGCAACTGTTCTTAAGAGCGAAAACATGCAAAGGCACTGACAAACGACAACAAACAACGACAGTACAACAAGGACCCGACGAGGAACAAAGGACACAGGAGGGACTAAATACACTGAGGGTAATCAAGGGAACAAGACACACCTGGGAGCAATCGAGGGGAACACAGGACAACGAGGAGACTCAGGACACAGAAACTCAGAATTAAACAGAAAAACATAGAGCCTGAAATGTTGTTCTGACAGCGTGGAAAGTGAGAAGAGAGTGGTTGCCAACTTCAGTGATTGGGCAACAAAATACTTTCATATTTCACTGTCAAAACAGGATCCTACCATTTTCTCAAGGCCTCAAGATGACATCAACTGTAACAAACTGGATGTTGCGCCATCACTCAAAGTTTTGAAAAGATAAGCTAAGCCACTTAGTTTCTCGTGAACACAAACAATCCAGTGTAAAAACAAATAAGCAATATTTGGATTCAAACTAAACCAGAAGGTTCAGTTTCAAGCACTGAACCTCGAACACAGATGAAAATCTCAGGTTGATTTACAAACTATATAAGAACTGTTTTCACATCTGCCAAATACAAAGATCACTTTCAGTGACTCCTCACTGAATGTCAAGTTGCGTCAAAATGACTGAGTCAGGCTGCTTTTCTGCAGCTCCAGGCTACAATTCAAGTATGACACACATTTGTCGTACTTTAATTGTATGACACAAAAACTATAGTTTATCTAGTGACTTTGACTCCAAAACAAACTTTTGTGAACTCAAATATGCTTTTCATTAACTATAATAATTTGGCTCAATTTGAGAGGGCTGCACATTTGCTAGCCTTGTGCTCTTGCAGCAAGAAGGTACTGGCAGAGGCGGCCCGAGCCTGTTTGCCGCCCTGGGCGAACCACCTTTCTGCCACCCCCACAATTTTCAAGTTGACAATGTTTTTATGAATTTCAATGAGTCACAAAAATAATTTGGAAACTGGATGGCTTGCTTCCATTGAGATAAACGTTAGGTTTTGTGTCTAAAATGAATTATCCTTCCTACCAAAAAAATCTGAATACTTTATTTACTCAGTTAAATCAGGGTACTTTTGAGGCTTTTGTTGGTATTGTTGCTTTATTGTATGCTTTGGCTTGCAAGTCTTTTTAACTTGACCGTTTTGGTCCACATGGACTTGTATTTGTATGTGTGGTGGGTTTTTTTTTTGTTTGTTTGTTTGTTTGTTTTTTTGTTTTTTTCCATGTTTGAAGATCAGGTGGGCCCAGAAAAAAAAAGTCAGTAACAAATCTCCACATCATGCAAACACCCTGTTCCCCATTTAGCTACCCAAAGGCTTTGGTTGTGGTTTCCATGGTGGCTCTACATTGGTTTCCACAGATAAATCCTTTATCTGGTAAACCCAAAATATCTGTGCTGACCACCATGTAAATAGAAACCTAGAAGGGTTTCCCCATGTCGCAACCACCACTCCCAAAATCTAGACTCACTGCTGGAGTTTCATTTGTCTATTCCATCTGAAATGTCTCCCTCTGCTGGTGTGCTTGTGGAGTACATGAACATGCTGAACTCAAAATGTGCACTTTTAGAAGAAAAGTCAGGCTTTGCATATTATTGGTGTGGAGAAGAAGAAAAAAACATTTAGTAAAGATCACAATAATTGTTTCTTATTACAAAAAACAGAAGGTAAACAATGAGGTGGATTGTATTTGCAAACAACTCCTCGATTATGCTACTTTGTTCTGTGTGAAATACAGATCTGGAGCCCACTGCACTGAATCCCACTGAAAACCTCCTGATTATTCCACCTAATATTGATTGACTGAGTTAAAACATCAGTGTTGTTGTTTCTAAATGAATATGAACTTGTTTCCTTTGCATTATTTGTGGTCTGAGAGCAGTGCGTCTTTTTAATTATTTTTGACTGTTTCTCGTTTCCTGCTAATAAATACTACGTTTTTGCTTGGAATTTCTGAGACATGTTGTCACAAGTTCATATAATACAAGGACAATGCTCATTTTACTCAAACATGTAGCTATAAAAGTAAAATCACATAATCTGATAATTTTATGGTAGCCTTTTTCCAGAGCTGTATTTCGGAAAGAGACAATAACAGCTTAACACGAAAGCTGAAAAATACCATAAGATGTAGTGTATAAGTATTTAGATAATAATCAGCTATGAAGAAATAAACAGGAACAATTTAAATCTTACCTTTGGCAGCAGCTTGAGAAAGTGTCAAATCAGCATGCATATATGTGTGTAAAAATCTGATGTACTGACTGTGACTGTGTCCATTACAAAGCATCTGAATCCTGCTAGACTAACATACTGACAGGAATCCAACTGACATCCTTCCACCCAGACTGTGGGTCTGTGCTGATTCAAAATCGGAGACAAAAGCAAAACAGTCTGTTTTGCAGTGACAAATCATCTTCAAGGATATAAAGACAGGATGTCAATCAGTTTGGACAGATGTTATTTGGTCTGGAAAAAATGTGTTCATGCCAGAATTTAGAGGCAGCTCCTTTGATGTGACAGTCATTTTATGTTAGAATTGCTACTAAATCTGCATTAATAGATAAATAGGCATATTTGCCTACAAAACCCAGGCAGAACAAAATGTGCAAAAACCCTTTGGAGAAAACATTGAGAAGGGAAATAATGAAGTGGACAAATTAAGAAGATTCCATGGTTTTTAAAGGAGTAAAGTATTTAAATACCATATTCAGGTGTGATAATCTTTTTTTATTCTGAATTTATTTGAAACAAAGAGACGAAGCATAAACACATTTAAAAAGTTACATTTTCTCACAAAATCTGGATTAGACGATTTTAGGCAATGACATTATGTGAACTGAAGGGGGCAGCAGTACACCAACAATTCGTTTGCCTTCTTCGATCAAGGGGAGGAAGAAGACAACCTACTACAAATGTTGTCTGTTAGCAACTGCTAACGTTACTAACAGGAACAAGCCGTCAGTAAGTACAATAAATAACATACTTACAATGTGCTAAAGGTTCAGTTTCAGCTTCACGAACCTTCTATGAGTATTACCCGAAACTAAATTCAATTTAATAGGTTTGTTGTTCAAACTGTTTCCCGCTAATGAGTTAGAATATGAACGTTCATGCAGCTGGTAGCCTGTAGCACCGGATGAATGCACGGTGACAGCGTGCACACAGTGTTGGTTTAGTGTTGGTATGCAGCAGCTCTTTAATATGGGGTGCAACATAATATAAGGTATTTTGCTGTTAAGTGTTATTTTGTTAGAAGCAAGCAGGATGAAAGGCTAAACGTCCCTCAGTTCAAGCTTTCTAGAAATGTTTTTGAGGATGATTAAAAGCAGACAACGTGTTAATCTCCATTTAGTCAAACACCACTGCTAGTGAGTGAAGTTACTGTGAACCTGGTGTTGTTTGAAGCTGCATGAAGTGATTTCTGTAAAAATGTTATTTTTGTTAAAACTGTTTTAACATAGTTCTCTCATGTCCCTGCATGACATGAGTCCTTCTCTTTCTTGGTTCTGCAGAAATGCACCCCTACTGGACAGAAACATCCAATCAGGGGTCTTAGCGCTGTCAATCAATTTGTGTATGGGCACATTTAGCACCACCATTTAGAACACAGTTTAACCACAGCGGTTTGCATTTCAAACCACATTTAAGAGTGTTAATGTTTACTCTTTATGACAATTGAATGGTGCTGCAAACAGTATAGCCTCAGCACTCACAAATCCTACAGAATCATAACTTTTAAAGTTTTCGTGTAACTTGATTTATTTTAATTGCATGTAACCTTCTATGTAGTCATTCTAAATTAACATTGCTTTTATAACTATTTGTCTATGGTTTTATGTTTATTTATTTATTTTAATCTCTGTAACCATGGACTTGTGTGTTAATAAAGATTAATTGTCTGATTAGCTATGCACTACATAGGACATGCCCTCAATATGTAGTTGACACTCCTGTTGCATAAAATACTGTATCACTGCTGAGGCATATGTGGCTGTGCTGAGGTACATTGGAGGCCCAGGTTGCTTGAATAGAAGCCTGAACCTCCTCTACTTTAGGGTCTCATCTTTATCTTGACTGTACTCCTTAAATTATCTAATGGCTTTATGTTAAGATAGTTGGCAAAGTAGCCCACTTTGAATCCTCCATGAGCATTCTTGTGGATGAAAAATCACCTTGAAAAGCATTCTTGTGGAATCGTTTTTTTTTTTTAACAGAATCTCAACATGGCCACACCAGTGCCTGTGCTTCGCCTACCGAAAGGTCCCGACCCGAACAGCCGTGGATTCGACCCGAACTCTCCTCGCTTCATCGCTCTGTGCCGCACGTCCATCCCCACTTCAGCCACGGCAGAGTCGGACCCCCAGCAGCTGCAGGAGGAGCAGCATGCACGTTCGGTGCTGAGAGAGCGCTTCCTGCGCTGTCTGCTCGCCATGTCCAACAAGAAGGTTCGGTTTCACATGCACGAGAAGGTCAACGTCGAGGCCACGTTTGGGGCGTCTGACATCGACGTGCTGAACTTTCAGGTGTCCGACCTGCACACTCCCATCGGGGTGCAAAAAGAGGCCCTCATCAGAAGTCAGGATGTCATTTCATTTACATTCGATTTATGACACTTTGAGCCCGAATCCCATGTTTTGATCTCAGCGACGGCCTTCTCGCGTCAGGATGATATTATTGTACAATATCTTTACAAAAATGTAAGATTCATATTCAGATCTTGCATCCATGAACTGTTTAAGTGCCACCACAAGAGGGAGCCATTTATTCGTCATGAACAAAGTGTTTGTATTCTTACCAAACACTTTGTTAAAAAGATATTTTTCTACCTTTTGATCAGAAACCAAGTGCTGAACCTGATACTGTCTGCTGGGAGTTTGATAGTATTTCAGTTTTATTCACAGTTTGATTCTCAGTCCTTCAGTTGTCATCCTCTTCCTGACATGCTGCCTGATATTAATATAACAACATCTCACCTAAATGGCAGCATTTCCATCATCTTCTGACATGCAACAAGTTTATTTTTGGTTTATATTTCTCACACTTTCTACCTTTATGTTTTATGTTGTACTTTGTTTAAAAAGTTTTGTTCAAATATGGTTTTGAATACTTTTCATTTAGACAAAAGGGAAATAAAAAACTGCATACAAACAAAACTTCAGCTAATATTTTTTCAAACAGAAAGCTTGTTGTTGGTTGTTTAATAAGCATTAGTTTCTCTGTCATGCAAGCAACTTTAAACATCTTAGACTACATTATGACATTTGTAAGTGATATCAAACAGCCTGTTGTAGAAAATGCAGAGATAATTAAAATTAGTTATTTTAGACCAAACTGACATGCAAAACTGATGTATTTTATTATTTATGCTCAAATAAAAAGCACTCTAACCTCAATGACAAACTTGAAAGCAAAGCAGATCAGCTATATATGCATGGAAGATTTTAGTACAGCCTGGTTGATGCTGTTGGGAGTTAAAGAAGCACAAAATACTCCTAATTAAATGATCATCAGCAGATATGAGCACATCTGCTGTGAATACAGTAAAAGATGGGAAGAGATGAGCAACTGCCTTTGAGAAGCCATTATAACTGTATCAATGTGGGAAAGATTATGAGGCAACTTCTGTACTATTTAAATTCTTTCCATCTATTGTGTTAATGATGCAGTTTGTGCAATCAAAATATTTAAGCCGGTTGTCGATTTTGCCAGGGGTAGACGTGCCAGCAAGACGAAATCGTGCAATGTCCTGAGAAATTACAAAACCGAAAGAGTTAAGCCTCAGGCTCCATTTGCCTCGGCATGTTTAGTGTTGCAAGTTATGGCTAGATACCTGATAGTAGCTCATTTTCTCTCTTAAACGCTTATAATGGCAAGACTTGGGTTTATTCGTCTGAAAGAAGCATAGAAATCCTATAGAAATGTAATTTGAAAGAATCAGACCAAAGTGGACTTATTATGTCAGGATATGATGTGCAGCTCTATGATTGGCAAAGAAAAAACAAATGTAAGCAGTGAAGGGTTGATGACCAAAGTTTGTGTTTTAGAGTCGGCTTGTTGACCATGAAGTCCTCTCTATGCAAAATTTTTCTAGGCATGCTTGAGGCCGTACTTCTTAAGATGGGATCGTGCAAGTGACAAAGTTCATAATGTGAGATGCAGAAAATGACCTCTTCAAGTTATTGCTGCCAAACTTTCTCCTACAAGCACATAAATCAGGTTTTATTTGCTTGACATGCAACTTTTGCATCTTGTTTGCTGAAAAGTAATGGCCATTTCAGTTTAGTCACTTTGCGGAAAGGTTGTGTTGGTATCAAAAGTGTTTGCGATTTTGGCAGCCATGTTCAACAGTCCAACCATTGAAGCAGGGCATGCAGTAACCGAAGCCGTAAGGCAAAGACCGGAGGCTTTTTACAGAGTGGGACATTAATTCAAGTCAAGGATAAACAGTTCTTAAATGGCTCTGATCATTTTTGTTAAATGTCGCACGGGGACCACTTTATGACAGCAGAGAGGATATCAATTATTTAAATCCCCGCTCATGAATTTATGTTAGAACAACTGGATTCATCATTGTTTCTCACCAGTCCCTTTTCAAGGGAGGGAGGAGGTGGGGGGGACAGAAGGGGGTCATCCACTGTTTAATCTTCTTAAAAGGTGTATTTTGCGAGTTCCCAATAAGTCATTTTATTTGAGTACCATTAGGCGGTCGTGTTGTGTCTGTGTCTCTTTTTGTACCTGAATTATCTGACCACTCAGTGAAGCAAGTCATCAGTAAAGCAGTGACTCATTCGCTCGAACCCCCTCCCCCTGCTCTCCCCGTTTACCCCCCTCACCATCATCATCACCATCTCGTTCTCCCTCTCACCCTCCCTAGTCCCAAATATGACTTAAACCTCTCATGACGTCATCGAGCCTGCGTGATTCGATCAGGAAGCCCTCAAGGACAAACAATGTTAATTTTATATACAGAGCAGGCGTGCAGCTTTGTGATCAGCTGCCCTGAACCCCTTCGCTTCTTCGTCTCATCTCCAGGCTGTCCTCAAAACACAAACATATACACGGCATGTGCAGGACAGACTGCAGCGTGATCTCTATGCACCGAGTCGAGCTTCATTGTAATCTTTGAACAACTATCGATCGAAAGCCTTTCTTTTTTTAAGTAATCTAATGTTACTTTAAAACCCGCAGGTACTGGGAGTTTTTAATTAACCCCAGCGCCTGGTAATTTTCAGAGGATGTTTTGTGTGTGACTCAAGCCACTTTACTATGACCTATGAATCATTTCAGCATAAACCAACTCCCAAACTCGCGCTGACAAAAACAAACTGTTTGGTATGCAACCATTAAAGTTGATGCAACAGTTTACATCCATTTAATTTGGGTCGAAACCATGCATGTCAAACTGCACTTAAGTTCAATTCAGACTAATACGATGGTTTTACTGGTTTGGTTTGTCCTCCCACCACAACAAAACTTTGTCAATAATGCATTGTGTTGTTACTGAAATTTTAGCCCTGTCAACATTTTCCCTGTCAGTCGCAGTTAATGTGCCAATTTCATCAGGTGCATTTCCGCTGTAGTTTTCTGAAGGATGTCGCGCTGTTTCTTAAAGACGTGACTTTCCTATGTTGCTCGTTTGCTTGTAGAGAACGTCTAAGGTCTCACGCCTCTTCGGATGTCTTCATATTGTCCACAGACTCTACAGAAGATTAGTGGGAGAGAAAAACGCCATCTCATCATGAAAAAAGAAGCAAAATTTAGAAAGCCTGAAGGAATATTAATCAAGGCATACAGTACACAATGAGGTTGCTTAAGTGTTTTCTATTAGCTTTAGATTACTGAAATGTCTCCACACCAGCAACGTGCAAAATACACATAAAGCAATCTAGACTTCTCAAAAAATGCCTGGTAGTTGCATTTTATTCAAGCTGCAGTATGTAGCTTACATACTTTATTCAAGCTGCAGTATGTTGCTTACATACTGCAGCTTGAATAAAGTAATGCAACGTTCTGACCAAAACAACCAATCAGAATCAGGAGGAGGGTCTTAGTGCTGTCAATCAACCCCAATCACTTACTGGTAAATGTGCTATTGGTGGAGAAACAACGTATAGTTACAGAAAAATCATTTATCTGCTGGTGGCTATGCTAACTAGCTATGCTAACTAGCCTAAGCATTTACAACAGGCTGCGTTAGCTGCAGCATAGGGATGAGCAGCCTCATGAGATTGTGATTGACAGCACTGAAACTCTCCTGCCACTGACTGGTTGTTTCTAGATGGCACTGGAAGAAGGCAGAGGAAATCGATTTTTCACAGATTATCTCTCATATCATACTGTCACAACATAATGACAGTTTCAACAAATATGTGGAAAAAAAATTTATTTTTATAAATGTTACATACTGCAGGTTTAATTTCACTCAGGAGAGGACGGGTCAGGAGGGACTAGAGCTGCTGCTGACTGACTCATCTGTTGTTAAGCGGTAAAAGGGACAAGTTAAATATATGAATATGCTGGAAATTTATTCCCTTAATTCATTTGATGCCAGTGAAAAGAAGGTAAATAGTCGTCTACTGTCTGTCCACCTCTCGGAGAAAAACTGGGTTTTTACCCTTACCTTTTTCTCTCTCTCTCTCTCTTCCTCTCTCTATTTATTTATTTATTTATTTTATTACATATTTATAAGAATTTTATAATTTTTCTTAGCAGGATAATCACAGCCACAGTCGTTCCACTGCCAGCTGCTGAACACCGTCGAGCTCCAAGCAGGAACGACCATCTCATGCAGATCCTGGGGGTTCGGGGCAAATATGGACGTGTGCTTTGTGGTCATTTGATTTTTACTGCTACAAATAATCTTCAAAAAACAAAAATATGATAAATTTTGTAATTGGCAGGGCCCCATTATTTTTTACATTTCCATAAAAACAAATAAAAATAAATAAATAAATAAATTGTGGGCCCTTAGAATTGTCATAACTTTTCGGTCCTATGGCGCCCCGGGCAGCTATAGATAGGTCTGTTTTCATCCTGCCTCACATAACCAAAGACAAAGTAGGAGAACTAAATAGTTTAGTAAGATAAAGTCTAGAGTTTTTACTAAAGCTGAAAGTTTTGCTCCCTCATTTGCAGACTTGCACATGGACACACTGTCTCAATGTTATCTTCTCTTACTGTTTGCCTTTCCTGACAGTCTGCTTCTCCCTGATTTCGGTGGAAAAACATTCCTGCCTCCTTCTATGCATGTGTGTTTATTCTTGTGTGCGTCTGTGTGTGCGTGTGTTCGCACTGTTGTATCAGTGCGTCAGTCATGATGGTACATGGAATCTGCCCTGGAGAGAACCACCGGCCAACAGGAAGCACATTCCTCTGCTTCCTGTTTGTGACCCTCTTTCACTTCCTGGCAAGTGTCTGATAACTCTCAAAAAAACACTTAATCACCCATTTGCCCCGCTCTGGTGCCAGCAGACAAAAATAATAAGCCAGTGACTTCATGAGTGTGTATTTTTAGCGTTTTTCATTACTGAAAAGAAAGGAGAAGTTAATTCACTCGGTAACATTTGTTGATTTATCGGCGCAAGTATTATCTGAGGTCGCCGCATATAATTTGTCTTCTGCTCACACAAAGTGTAACAGATAAACAAATATCCTGGGACTTCAGGAGAACAAAAGGCCCCTCATGAATTTATGAACATGAGAATAAATCTGCAGAAATGTAAATTTTTTGTTTTTCTCTTTTCCTTATCTCTGTGCGTTTTTGTCAAGAAATGAATATATTTCTTTTGTCTTTTTCTTAAACGAGCATTTGTCATTGCCTCGTCTCCTTTTTTACACTTTTTCTTGTGCCACATGGAGGACCAAAGCGGATACAGTTAAAAACAAAAGCACATCAAGTTAGAAATCTCAGTCGCCAGACGTGAAACCTGTGAAGCCTTTGGGGTGTGCTGAGAAGTCATGCTAAAAAGAAAGATCAAAGATTCCTCTTTCTGGATGGTTTAACTCAAGGCTCCTGAAAATCAGCCAACGCTTCTTGCTTCTTATAACTTAGACTGTGAGTGACCGTCATCCCGGAGTTACGTAATTGTTGATGATCCATCGTCTTTGTCCTCAAAGGGAAATTAATGTGATGAGGTAACACCTTCAGCTTTACAGCAGAACCTTCATTTTCTCCAGATCTCTCTGCCTTTGAGTCAATACTGGTCTGATCTTAAACAGTAGCATGAAGAGATCCACTTATAGGGCTGGAGAGGGGAAACTCCGGCAAATAAGAACAAAGTTGAACTTTATACGTGGCTGAAAACATACACTGAAACCACCCCACCGCAAAACATGGCGTCAGGCTGCGGGAGTGCTTAGTAGAAAGAAAAAATATCAGAGGCTGCAAAATGAA